GAAGGTTAGAATGAAACCCGAAGGTTTAAAATAGAACCCGAAGGTTAAACGAGAACGTGAAACGCGTTAAGAGGCCGCAAAACGACAAGGCCAAAATATCTGGCAGATGAACGCCAAATAATTAAAAATAAAAATAAAAAAAATAAAACATTAAACGGCTGCAAAGCAATAAGGCCAAGATTTGGCAAAAGAACGCAAAAGCGTTAAAAATTTTATTGAAAGGGAAATAGCCCTAGCTCTGATACCATGTGAAAGTAAGAGAGAGAGAGAATCTTGGGTAAATTTCCCTTGAATTGAATATTGAGTGTGCACATATATTTATACAAGTAGAGGAGTGTGAGGTTTGTTCTCCCAAGCAATGTGGGACTAAAACCCACTACAATACACTATTATCAACAGTCACATTTAGGTTCACGGATCTGAAGCCTTTTGAGTCTTAGCTATTGGTCATGGTTAACTTGAATAGATTATCAGGTGGTTCAAGCAAAGGGTTGTGGTAACACAAAGTAATAATGAAGTACATGATTTTATTGCCCAAATCCCTGACCATACTCTCTAATTTCTTAGACTCAAACAAAATTGCCGCAATGATGACAGCCAGAAACAAGAGTTCGGTGACATGGGCTCCAACTTGATGGTCCAGTTGTTGAATTTCAGTAAACAAAACACAAGCACATCAAAACTTAAATATTTCATGCTGGAATCTTATTTTATCTCTTTTTTTTCTAAATCCAGAAGGAGACATCTACAAATATGATCAATGTTGGAAAAAAAAAGCTTCGACATTGTTTGGGACAAAAATCTATGCCTCGAACTAAGTATTAAGCTGGCACCAACAGATACATCAGATTTATTAAGCTGACACCAACAGATACATCAGATTGTGTCTAACAGATAAAACATAAACCTGTTTTGGATGCAAGCATATCTTCAGCTTCACAAACCTGTCAACCAATCTAACAGATAAAACATAAACCTGTTTTGGATGCAAGCATATCTTCAGCTTCACAAACCTGTCAACCAAATGCCAGTAAATGATTTGTTGTTTCTGTTGAAGCCAGCCATGGAGTTTGTTATTGGTGATTGGTTAGTTTGTGATTCAATCTGTTCCACAATTTGTAGGCACAGGCTTTCTTTAGATATCCCTATGTATATATATAACCAAGTATTCTAATGAAAATAAGAATGTGTTAGACAGAGTGGACGTAGGCTTTCTTTGGCCGAACCACGATACATCTTTTTGTCCTCTTTTCTATTTTCCTTTCTTTTTCGTTTCTTTTTTTTCTTAACTTGGTATCAGAGCATGGTTCTGAAGCTCGATGATTGATTGAGGGTTGATGGTCAGGCCGGAGATCCCATCATTCATTTAGTTTGCATGATCCAACTCTTTCTTTTCTGATCTCATCCATTCGTCATGGGTGACTCTACTCAAGCCAACAAAAAGCTCGACAACACTGATTCACCCTACTTTCTTCATTCTTCTGACAATCCAGGAGTCTCCATTGTCACTCAAAATCTGACTGGGGAAAATTATGCGACATGGTCTCGTGCCATTCGAATGGCACTTCTTGCCAAGAATAAATATGGGTTCATTGATGGAACCGTCGAGAAGCCCAGTCCTTCAGATCCCAAAGCATCTCAATGGGAGAGGTGCAACAAAATGGTGTATTCCTGGATTCTCAACTCAGTTCACAATGACATTGCTAATAGTGTGATGTATGCAGAGATGGCACAGGAGGTATGGCTCGAGCTAAGTGATCGTTTTTCTCAACAAAATGCTCCCCGCATATTCCAACTTTCTCGTGCCATTGCTACTCATGAACAAGGTACATCCTCCATTGCCTCTTATTTTACTGGGCTCAAAGCACTATGGGACGAACTATATTCCTATAATGACGTTCCGCCATGTTCTTGTGGATCTTCTAAAGAACTCATGAACATTCATCAAAGAGAGAAAGTCATGTAGTTCCTTATGGGTTTAAATGAAAGCTACAATGCAATACGTAGTCAGATTCTCTTGATGGAACCCTTACCTACTGTTAATCGTGCATAATCACTGCTACTTCAGGAAGAAAGACACCGTGACCTCCGTGTGGCTCCTCCCTCTCATGAAGCCGCAGCCCTCGCCGTCAACCACTCTGGCCCTAAAGGGAAAGCCCCCCTGCATTGTGACCATTATGAAGCCGCAGCCCTCGCCGTCAACCACTCTGGCCCTAAAGGGAAAGCCCCCCTGCATTGTGACCATTACAAACGAAACAACCATACAATCGATCGATGCTTTCTCCTTCATGGTTTTCCACCGAAGAACAATAGTCGACGCCATCAGGGAAAGCCCAAAGGTAATCAATACAATACTCAACACAATGGACGCACTCTTCCCATTGTTGGATCTGTCAACAGTGCAGAAGAATGCAAACAACATTCAGTCATTTCACCTGAACAGTATCAACAACTGATGACATTACTCTCAACGGTGATGCCCACCAACTCACCTGCCTCAACCGCCACTGTCTCTGGTAATATTCATTGTCTTACCACTTCTCCTTCTATTCATTGGGTTATTGATACTGGAGCTACCCATCATATGGCGTGTTCCAAATCTTTGTTTACCTCTCTTAAACCACAGTCCAACATATTTCCAGTGACTCTTCCCAATGGTCAGACTGCTAACATCTCCTTTATAGGAACTGTGGCACTACCCAATGGACTTCGGCTAGATGATGTCCTTTATATTCCTTCATTTAACCTTAATCTTCTATCTATTCCACAATTAACCAGGACAACACCCTGTTTTGCCACATTCCACACTGATCATTGTCTTATTCAGGACCTTCAATCGAGGAAGACGATTGGTCGGGGTAAACTCCATGGAGGCCTCTACATCCTTGATTCGACCCAAGTCAACGCTGTCTCCACCAGCCTCGTCCCTACTTTTGATCGCTGGCATTGGCGTTTGGGCCACCCCTCATCCGAGCGATTAAAGTTCATTTCCAAGTTAATTCCTAGTATTTCCATTTCTACAGATTGTATCTGCAATATATGTCCCTTGGCAAAACAAACCAGACTTCCTTTTCCAAATAGTTCTATTTCCAGCAAGCATGTTTTCAGTCTAATTCATTGTGACATTTGGGGTGGCTATCGTGTAGCCTCTTTATCGGGGGCCCATTATTTTTTAACCATTGTAGATGATTTTTCTCGTGCCACTTGGGTATTTTTAATGCGTCAAAAATTGGAAACTCCATCCGTTCTATGCAATTTCATATCATATGTTAAGACGCAATTTAATATCCTTGTCCAAACTCTTCGCACGGACAACGGCCAAGAATTCCTTGCCAATGACCTTCAAAATTTTCTCCATACTCGTGGCATCATTCATCAACGTAGCTATATTCACACCAGCCAACAAAATGGCATAGTGGAACGAAAACATCGTCATTTACTAGATGTTGCTCGGGCCCTTCGTTTTCAAGCCCATCTACCTTTCAGTTTTTGGGGTGACTGCATTCTTACTGCAACCTATCTCATCAATAAAATACCCACAAAACTATTATCTGAGAAAAGTCCCCAAGAGGTTCTCCCCGGATCTGTACCATCCTATCACAACCTCCGGGTCTTTGGATGTCTTTGTTATGCCCGGAACTCTTACATATCTCATAAATTCGATGCCCGCGCTCTTCCCGGGATTTTTGTTGGCTACCCTCTTGGTTAGAAAGGATATCGAGTTTATGACCTTGCCTCCAAGAAAATATACGTCAGTCGCGATGTTGTCTTTCATGAGACCATTTTTCCTTTCAGAGACACTGAAACAACTACATCTACATCTTTACCACTGCCTATCACTTATGACAATGGTTATACCGAGCTCATTAAACTTCAGTCCCCAACCAACATTAGCGTCGACACCAGGTTGCCATCCATCAACCTGACATTGACAATACTCATTGTGAACAAACAACTCCTGACCAAGCCGTCGTTCACCAACCTGACCCTACCCTGCAAGTCAGTAATGAAATTGTTCCTATGCCTCGACGCTCAGGTCGTATCTCGAGACCACCTCCTTACTTGCAGGATTTTGCCAATTCGATTGTGGGTACACCAGCAGCTAAAGAATCCACATCTCACCCTATTTCTTCCTACCTTATGTACTCACACCTTTTCTCTACACACCGGTCATATGTTGCTGCTATCACCTCTTCCATCACCCCTGTTACCTTTGCTCAGGCCAACCAATCGCCACAATGGCGCAAAGCTATGGCACATGAACTCCAAGCTCTTGAAGCCAATAAAACTTGGCATCTCACACCTCTACCTCCAGGAAAACACACTATTGGTTGCAAGTGGGTCTATAAAATCAAATACAAGCCTGATGGATCAATCGAACGCTACAAAGCCCGACTTGTCGCCAAGGGTTTTACCCAACTCGAAGGCCTAGATTACCATGAAACCTTCGCCCCTGTTGCCAAGCTTGTTACTGCCAGATGTCTCTTAGCCATTGCCTCCATTAAACATTGGCCTCTTCACCAATTGGACGTAAATAATGCTTTCTTACATGGCGACTTACACGAAGAGGTCTACATGAAACCACCTCCAGGCCTTTCTATTGGTTCTACCAAACTCATATGTCGGCTACAAAAGTCCCTTTACGGCTTAAAACAAGCATCCCACAACTGGTTTTCTAAACTATCCACTGCCTTGATCTCACACGATTTTATCCCTTCTAAGTCAGACTACTCTCTTTTTAGCAAATTCACCAAGGCAGGTTGCATCCATGTCCTTGTTTATGTCGACGATATTATTGTCACTGGGGATCCAATGGCATAATCGCCATTAAACGCTCCCTTCACTCAAGCTTCCATATCAAAGACTTGGGCACCCTCAAATATTTCCTTGGCATTGAGATTGCTCGTTCCTCTCAAGGCATCTTTCTCAACCAACGCAAATACGTCCTTGATTTACTCAATGATTCTGGCCTTCTTGGAGCATGACCAGTGGCTTTTCCAATGGAACAACACCTCAAACTTTCTGCCACTAATGGCACGCCCTTGGAAAATCCATCTACTTATCGTCGCTTAATCGGACGTCTCATTTACTTAACTATCACCCGTCCTGACATAACCTACTCCGTTCACAACTTGAGTCAGTTCATGCATACACCTCTTCAACCTTACTATAATGCTGCTCTTCGCTTGCTTCGCTATCTTAAAGGTACCCCAGGTAAAGGCATTCTCTTGCCATCCACTGGTTCACTTCATCTCACGGGCTATTGTGACTCTGATTGGGCGAGCTGCCCGATGACTCGTCGCTCTACTAGTGGTTATATTACTATGCTCGGTTCCTGCCCTATCTCCTGGAAAACAAAGAAGCAAGTTACTGTGGCTCGTTCTTCATGTGAAGTCGAATATCGCTCCATGGCTTTGCTTTGTTGTGAATTAGTTTGGTTGAAAACCTTACTACAGGATCTCCATATTTCCCATTCGGAGCCTATCACTCTTCATTGTGACAACAAAGCCGCGCTCCATATTGCCACCAATCCTGTTTTCCATGAACGGACCAAACATATTGAATTAGATTGCCACTTTGTTCGTGACAAGATCACTGATGGGCTCATCAAGCCTTCATACATGCCCACCGACAATCAGTTGGCCGATCTATTTACAAAAGCTCTAGGCAAGGACAGGCTTCTACTTCTACTTGGCAAGTTGGGCATGTATGATATACATGCTCCAACTTGAAGGGGGGTATTAAGCTGGCACCAACAGATACATCAGATTTATTAAGCTGACACCAACAGATACATCAGATTGTGTCTAACAGATAAAACATAAACCTGTTTTGGATGCAAGCATATCTTCAGCTTCACAAACCTGTCAACCAATCTAACAGATAAAACATAAACCTGTTTTGGATGCAAGCATATCTTCAGCTTCACAAACCTGTCAACCAAGTGCCAGTAAGTGATTTGTTGTTTCTGTTGAAGCCAGCCATGGAGTTTGTTATTGGTGATTGGTTAGTTTGTGATTCAATCTGTTCCACAATTTGTAGGCACATGCTTTCTTTAGATATCCCTATGTATATATATAACCAAGTATTCCAATGAAAATAAGAATGTGTTAGACAGAGTGGACGTAGGCTTTCTTTGGCCGAACCACGATACATCTTTTTGTCCTCTTTTCTATTTTTCTTTCTTTTTCGTTTCTTTTTTTTCTTAACACTAAGCACGAATTGGTAATAACTACATATCATTAATATTAATTGTTACTTTAATGCACACATCTAAGTATTAACTATTTAATTGTTTTAGTTCTTGTTTCTTTTTCACTCGATAGAAGGAGTTGGATCCCGAAAATTATGATGAGTTCGATGTATTTGTCAAATCTCATAAAAGAAAGAGGGGTCTTGAAGACTATCCACATGAGGATACCAAAGATGTTTGTGTAAGTTTTATTTGTGATTCTTCTTCCTTAACAATATTTCTCTTAGGTTATGAATCTAAAATTTTGACAATATTTTGTGAGGTTATGAATCTTAATTTGTATGCAGGAGAAGGTTATTGAAAGGGCTGAGGAGCTCAAAATTCAACTTCAAAATGCTGATCCAGCAACAAAAGCTCATCGATTGAAGCTTTTAGGATTTCTCGATGAGGTAGCAAGAAAGAATCACAAGGGTTATGAGAGAGGATATGGTGCTGGATACAAAGGAAGGACAATGGTCCACCATTTTTCTACATCCTATAAAATCGAGGGTAATGTAAACAATAATTCTGAGCTTCAAGAACAATTACATTCTGCGAACCAGAAAATCGAAGAGTTACAGAAAAGAGCCAAGGAAGCAAAAAGAGAAAAGGAACGGGAAAGGGAAGAAAGAGATCGCCAAATGCAAGATTTTCAAAAAATGGTCTCTGGATTTCAAGCAATGATTGGATTAAATGGACAAGCACAATGATTGAGTACAGGTATTCTAAATTTTTATATACAACTATGCTAGACATTTTTATATAAAATGATTGGATTAAATGGTCTCTAGAAGGGTAAAAATTACATGCATGATGCATGCACGCAAAAAATTGTGCTAGACATTTGTTCTTATATGTTGAATTTGTTGGATTCCGGACCTCATACACGAATGTTCCTATCATGCACCAGTTGCTTAAACATCTTTTTAGCTGAGACATATGTTGAATTCGTTGGATTCCGGAGCTCCTTGAGTACAATTTTTTTACTACAATTTTGCCTACAAAGGGGATAAACTATTGGATCATGATGATTCTTTACTAGTAGGTCATGTTGCTCTCTTTCTTTACTCATATGTATGACTGATAGATCTCAATACTATTCCGATTTAGATGGTTTACTTAAAGTGGTTGGAAAAGAACGAAGGAGGATGTCATTCTGGAGGTATTCTTATTTGCATGCTGATTCAAGATTACTCCTTCCGAGTTGCAGGATGAAAGTTCCGAGGTGATGGATGGTGAAGGGGAGAATATTTTGGATAGAATCAGTTGGGAAGAAGCAAAGCATTGGGAGAGACTCAATGAAAGAAGAACTCGTCTTGATAATTAATAGGCTCGCCATGATATTTATCATTCAAATTTTAATTATTCATGGTTTATTGCTTCACTGTCATAGGTCTTTGAATAGGTTTTTATTTGTTAGATTTGCATTTTAGTTAAGAGTTGTAGGATGTGGAGAAGTTGTGAACCTTGCAAATTCCGAGCATACCGATGCCAACGGAGGTCCCCTCAGGCTGAGATCCGACAGGTTCCGAAATAACTACAGGAGTAGTCATGGAGGGTATATCAACCCCTGTAGGCAAAGCGGTCATACCTCTCGGTTGTGGCGGGGAGACACCGTTCTCAGGCAAACTATCAGTCCCAGAAACTGTAGTGGCATCAGGCACAACGGCTGGTCCTAGAGTTACATGTCTTTATTAGTCAAAATGAAAATTTGGACAAATAAGGAAAATCAATGAAAGAAGAACTCGTCTTGATAATTAATAGGCTCGCCATGATATTTATCATTCAAATTTTAATTATTCATGGTTTATTGCTTCACTGTCATAGGTCTTTGAATAGGTTTTTATTTGTTAGATTTGCATTTTAGTTAAGAGTTGTAGGATGTGGAGAAGTTGTGAACCTTGTAAATGATCTAAACTCAAAGTTTTATAGTTTTTTTTGGTCAATGAACTGTAAATTTTATTCATCTCCCAAATTTGAACATGTAAGGTAAAACAAAGCTCCAGAAGCCTGGAAAACAAAAGAAAAATTACAAATTTTCAAGAAGTTCTTTCATATGTACATGTGAACTATCATTTAGAACTTTATAAAAAACCGAAAGCATAATATCCCTAAAAACTTGAGCAGGCAGCCTCCTCTTGTCCTGAAAAATCCTTAGATTTCTCTCCCTCCAAATCATATATACAGCAGCAGATAAGCACATCCTTTTCAGCTTCTTCATAGGACGTTTTCCTTTCAATTTGTAAGAGTACCAATGCAGTATCAAGCTCCATGTACCGGACCTCCATTTATATCCCAACTAGCTCATCACCAAGTTCCATACTTCAGCTGAATATTGACACTCAAAAAAGATATGATCCCTTGCCTCTAACTGGTGACTGTCACACAGAACGCAGTGAAGCTGATTTGTGCTCAAGATGTTCATTCTGCACAGTCTATCCTTGGTAAGTAGTCTTGAGTGACAAGCTAGCCAAAACACAAAGGAGTGCTTAGGGTATAGGAAGCCATCCCAAACTATTTTAGCCCAAACAACTGTACTAGCAGGTTGAATAAGAGCTCTGTAAACTGCAGATAAAAGAAGTTTGCCTTCAGAGTAACAATCTGCTATAACATTTTTTGCAGTAACAGCACTCCCAAACTTACTCAAAAGCATATCCCTCACTTTAAGGAGTTGCCTCCACATCCATGAGTTATTTGTCTTGGGTTGGACAGTCCATATATTTTGATTTTGAAGATAGTTTCCATGAATCCACTTGATCCATAGGAGATCCTTTTTAAGATGAATCAACCACAAGAGCTTAGTGACAGTTGCATAGTTCCAGAACTTAGCTGAGAAGATACCCAAACCCCCATACTCTTTACCTTGACAAACAGACCCCCAGTTTACTAAGTGAAATTTGTGTCCCCACAGAAAGTCAGAACACATACTGTCAATCTTTTCCAGAGCTTTAATTGGGAGGATGTAATTGCTTAGCCAATATGTTTGAATGCCCAAAATAATAGACTTAATCAGTTCAAGTCTTCCAGCATAGGATAGGCATTTATTTTGCTGCCAAGTATGGAATTGATTATAAATTTTACCAATAAGACTAGAACAATCAGTGTATGAGAGTCTTTTAGCAGTCAGAGGTAGGCCCAGATATTTCATAGGCAGTACTCCCTCAGGGAATTTGAGATGGTTGCATATCTGAGCTTTGAGACCATCAGATACACCACTTAGGTAGACAGAGCACTTGCTTGAGTTGGATTCCAGTCCAGAAACTTGTCCAAATTCTTGGAGACATGTGAAGATTTTAGCAATAGAACTCATGTCAGCCTTACATAACAGCAGCAAATCATCAGCAAAAATCAGATGATTAATCTTCAACCTAGAGCATTTTGGATGAAATTTGAAAGATGAATCATCCTTTAGAGTGTTGGGTCTCCTGGATAGATATTCCATCCCTATAACAAACAGATAGGGGGAGAGAGGATCCCCTTGTCTCAAGCCATGAAAATAGCCATGCAGACCACCATTCAAAGCTAAGGAAAATTTTGGGGTAGATACGCATTCCATGATCCAGCAAACCATATTGTTAGGAAAATTCAAACCAATCAACATACTCCTTATGAAATCCCAACCAATAGTGTCAAAAGCCTTCCTCAGATCAACATTTAAAATAGCTCTTGGGGAATTATTTTTCCTCCCATAGTACTTGAATAACTCTATGAGCAAGTAAAAAACTACTGGATATAAGTCTCCCACTTACAAAAGCACACTGCGCATCATTAACAAGATATCTCATAAATTTTTTAACTCTGCTGGCAATAACTTTGGAGATGATTTTATAGATAATCAAAGTTTTATAGTTGATTATCACTTCATTGAATTTATTGACAAAGCTTGTATCAAACACGCATTATTATTTAATTGATTAAGTTAATTTCTTATTTATGATGGTAATTATTTGTTTCATTTGAATGATATCATGTATTGTAATAAATGATCGATTAGAAATAGATGAATATCATTGCTACAGTTGAATGCGAGAATAAAAAGTAATATTTTGGTGAAAATATATTTTTAATACCCTATAGCAACGGTTTTTTGTTGTTAATATACCCTAGTGGTGGTTAGGATGTTGCTGATGTGGATATTTTATTATTTTAAAAATAAATATTAAATCTTATAGTAGCGGTTGCCTTTTGTTGTTAATAGACTATAACAACGGTTAGGATTTGCTGACGTGGATTTTTTTTATTTTATAAAAATTAATCTAATAGCAACGGTTGTTATATTTGCAACGGGTTTAGATCGTTGCAATAAGCTAATTGCAACGGCATTAATAGTAACGGATTATTTACAACGGTTTTAACCGTTGTTAATGTATTAAAAACGGTCCGTACCGTTACTAAAAGGCCTATAAGCAACGGTTGGAACCATTGCTATAAGGGGCTTTTGTAGTAGTGACATAACCAAGTTCCTATAACTGTTCTAATTGTAGAAAACTCCCAATAGAT